ACCTCATCCTGTAAAAATGCAAATGACCGCTGCTAGGGTCAGAACCTTAACCAGTTTTCTATCTAATTTATCAATTTCATCCCATTTCCTTTCCCCGCCCCCCTTTCTCACTGGCTATGACAGATCAGTTGAAGCAAGTGGGTCATTCTAATGGTGCCCTCATTAGTGGATTAAAATAAATGTCTGACAGGCGTCACTATGTAATACATGTATTGATACGTACGCTGTGGACTGGAACAACAGAATTGACTAACCTGAAACTAATAATAATAATAAATAAATTTTAAAAAAAACAAACAATAACCAGAATGGACTAGGTATTCTGTCACCAAAAGGATTTATTTGGGAAAAAGAAAGAGTTGCCATCTGGCAAATGCAGATATGGTGAGTGACATGTACACACACTGACTGGGACAAAGATGGAGAAGGAACTTACAGAGGGGAAGAGGAAGTTAAGGGGAGGGGCTGTTACAACCGTACAGCTCAGTTGTAAACATAGGGCAATGACACAGCTCTTTGCAAGAGCTCTTCCCAGGAGCCCTAGCTCCTACTAGATGGTTATGTCCAGGTTATGTCGCTATCATAATTTTACCATTTTCCCCTTCTTTTTCTCTGAAAGCATCCCTGATCAACAGTCTGGTCTTCTGATCTCAGCAGCCTTTGTCCCTCCATGTCCTGAAGGACTTCTGGATATCGGCCTCTCACATCAGAGGGAAGGGGCGTGGATCAGGAAACAGCTCATGTCCGGAGTTAATAAGCAATGGTGCAAAGCTTGACAACAAAAAGAATACACAACAGAATTAAAACAACGTAACAAACTTAGTCTATATGATGAATTTAATCCAGGGGCTCAAACCTGTAGGTGATGGAACAAAGATCATTATTATCCTGGGCAGATCCTTGTTCTTGATGACAGAGTGAATAACCAGAAAAATGTCCCCGTTTCACAATAGGTTAGGAAATGTAAACAAGGGTGTTTTCCTTCCAAGGAAGAGAGAGAAAGTTAAGAATTAATAGTAAGGAAAGAAGTGTACAGGCCTGATCTGGTTGTTTTTGGGAAAGCTGTCTCCTTCAGAGTTCCACCTGCTTTAAATCTCGACAGCTTTAGTTTCAGGGCACCAGACTGAGTGCCGTTCCAGTCAGGGTGTGGTGTCTTCTCAAGGTGTGACACATGAATCCAGAGCCTATTCCCTGGAGTTGAGCATCACAGAAATGAGACAACAGCACCTAATAGGGGCCCTCTCAGTGAGGCTGGAGGAAGTCTTTATGGAAGTATCTTTTCCAGTAAACAAAACTCCAGGTTGCAGAGTGTGGGTTTTGGGGCTTTCATCTCCTTGGAGTGCACTGTGAAAAGATTGCTCTGCCAAAGCATGGTGCTTTTCAATAGAAGCAATTAGGTCTTCACAGTATTGAAGTATGTCTCCCTTTATTAACTGTGGATGGATAGAAGCAGGAGCCCGATGCATGGGGCGTCTTGTAATTATCTCCAAGGGTGAGCGTTTATGCGCTCTAAAGAGGGCGGGTCTGAGATTTAAAAGGACCAACAACAGTGCTTTTGGCCAGGGTATCTGGAGGGTTTCTACAAATGTTGCCAGTTGCATCTTAATAATGAAGTTAGTGCATTCGAGGAAACCTGAGGATGGAGGGAGTAAGCACAGTGAAAATGTAAAACCGGCCCAACAGCACAGACCTGTTGAAGCACCGACCAGCACAATGGGTTCCTCCATCACCATGGAGTCTGTGGAGTTCCCAGGTGGGGATAACCTTCTCTAAGAGGGCGTTAGCCCGTGGTGGGGCTTTAGCCTGTCTACAAGGAAAAGCTTCAGTTCAGTGAGAAAACACACAGACCATGACTAAAACATATTTCTATCCATGAGATTGGAAAAGCAGTATGAAATCCATTTGTCAAACCTCAGTGGTCCGTTGACAAATGTCCGGGAGCAGTGTGGACAGTCTCCCTGGGTTGTACCTTGGTCAGGTGAGACAGGTGAGGTAGGCGCTTTTTGCAGCCTTATTAATATGTTCTCACCAATGCTGATTCATAAATTGTATTATTTTATCAATGCATGTCTAGTCATTAAGGAGTGGCATCAATGAAAGTCCAAACCTCTAAAACAACTGTATAAAAGTTTATCTGAGCCAATAACTGAAGACATGCCTGGAAGCGAGATCTCCACAGATTGAGAAAATGTTTCAGAGAATAGCAGTTGTTCAGCTCTTTTTATACATTTAGAGTCAAAGGAGAAAGCGTAGGGGAGGTTACATGAAATCCATTGGTGGTAGATTAAGGGGGTGGGAGATGGCAAAGCAGGGAATCTCTAGAATTGCTTAAAAACCAAAATGGAGAGGTACATAGTTTTACACTGGTGGGCACAGGATAGTTGACATTTAACATTTATAGTACATAGAGATGGTATGCGGGCAAGAAGATAACGATGAGAAGGTTTGTGGTCGTCATGCTCTGGTGGCTGTGGTTATGCCTCTGAGGGGTCTGGAAAAGAAAATGACTCTGATCTCTCCAAGGTGTGTTATCTTAGATGCATGAGAACACAGGACAGGGCTGGCTTAAGGCAAAGGTAACCTTTTACTAAGGAAGCTATAGGCCTGGGACGTGACCATCCGCCATGACCTGCCCAGTTAGGAATTCATGATCAGATCACCCTGTGTGGTTACTTTCGGTTGCCAGGCTTGTGAGTCAGTTATGTGGCCCCTCGACCATCCACGGCGGAAAGTTCCGTCTCTGGTAGGATGGGGTTGTTATTTGGTCCAAACCAGAGCTTTCTCTCTTATCAAAACAGCAACTGTTAGATTTCCAATTATGGTTTTCTTTTTCTGGAGTCGACTGTTGGGCTTCTCTGGCCAGATTTTCTAAATTACCAGCTGGGGGAACATCCCCCTGGACCATGACAGAGGTTTGACCTTTAAGGGCAACATTCTTTGTGGAAATGTTAGCAAGGTGATTTCCTTTTGCTCCCAGAGAGTCAAGTTTAAAATGCCCTGAGATCTTAATAATAGGCAAAGCAGCAGGTAAAAGTATAGTGTCCAACAATTCCTGAACATAGGGGCCATTTTTAATTTCATTTCCATAGGAAGTAAAGATGCCTCATTGTTTCCATAGCATTCCAAAGTCGTGGCCTACTCCAAAGGCACATTCACCATCAGTATAAATGTTGGCAGTTTTGCCCTTGGTTAAGCTAAAAACCCAAGTGAGAACAAAGGTTATAAGGCTCCCTGAACAACTTCAGAGGGCCTTACAATTGCATAACGAGTACAGCGCTTACCATTTTCGTCCTTCGGATTGTAAACCACAAGAAATCAGCTTTACCTAAAGGAGCCTCCTGCAAACCACCCAGAGGAGTCTGGAGGTGATGTCAGTGCCGGGCAGTCATGAAGGGCTTCATCTGTCTTCACCCAGCACTAAATCAACATGAGTTGACATTGAAAGAAAAATAAGATCTTTGACTTTTTCCACATTTCCCTCTTTTTTCCAGATGGACTCCTGGTTTCAGTTCATTCCATCACTGGCCCCAGACATGGCAGAAAGAAGCAATATCTGTCCATAGGAATGTGGGAATAACACATCCAGTAGTATGTATGTGTTATGCCTTGTCTGCTTATCTGTGTGAATAGCCAGGTGCTTGCACAACTTTCTTGGTATTTTGATTCATTCACTTTGGGATTCCTGCAGAATGGGGTGTCTTATTTCCTTAGATTATNGAGGTAGCCTGTTGCACCGTCGTTCTAATTAACTTTCTTTTCCGTAAGATACAAACTAAAGACGGGTGTTTCAGTTATCCTGAAATTTTAATTGACAAGAACACAAAATGCCCGGAGTGTTTTAGATAAGATACCACTGAAGCACTTTAGATATTGATATTACTGAATTCTAAACAGAAATATACTTCAGGAAGCGTTCCTAAGAGAATGATGTTGACAGAAGAAAAAAAAGTAGCAGCATATAGAAGGGCCTTAGAGATCAATTAAATCTTATCCTTTTACAGATAAAACCTGTGACGGATGGCAGGGTCACAGGTTTCTCAACTATTTTTCTAGAAATGTTTTACATTATATTACCTCTTTAGACTTTATTATCCCAAATGCTAATATTTCATGAGGAATGAGGCTGGATGAGTCACAGCACAGTATCATCGTTCCACACACGGCTTCTATTTTAGGCTTGGTGACAGAGGCATGGCTCATTTCTGGATGTGAATTAATATCCTGAGCTTAGCTTCCCCTGTGGGGATGTAATTCCTCTTGCTTAAATCTCATACGGACGCTTCATCGACGTTTACAAAGTACAGAACTGGCTAGAAAATCATAACCACAAAAACTGAACCGTGCAGCTAATAAAATCTCCAAATTATCGGCCTTGCTACTGACTCAAAGCAACACCAAATCCCAAAGCACTAAGTCACCTGAGAGAGAGCTGTGAAGTGCTCCGAAAGAAAACGTCACAAGGTAGATAGATGCTACTTCAGTGTATTTTTTAAGTTAGCTGCAACATCCAACTACAAAATCAAGACCCAGCAGAGAAAACCGAGGTGGGGGCGTGTGGTTCATGCCCGCCAAGGTCCTGCAGATGACGCTGAGTAAATGGATACAAGGTCACAGGGCCCTAAATAAAACCAGGACCCACAGCTGTTTGCCGCCCAGTTGTTGNGTTTGAACTTCAAAATGGAAAACAGACTGTGTTACATTGGTTTCCAGCACATTCCACGGGCACTCTTGGCAAACCCCTGGCCTCAATAGCCCACGCAGCCCAGAAGCCTGGGAGAGAGATTGCTGGAGACCAAAGCTATCTATCAAGTGAATTATTTTTACAACGGACCTGTCTGACCTTTGGCAGCTCCACACAGATTCTGGCTGAGAAAGACCAAAAAAACTGCCAGAGTGTCTGATGATCCCAAGATAACTGATTGTTACATTGTCTCATGTTGAGGCCCATTCTCAGGAAAGGTGTTTTGCTCCTCATTTGGGAAGTGAGAGTTTTTGGGGGGGGGGGTTTCCAGCCTGTTTGACATAGCTCTGCTCATTCTGCATTGCCAGCCTGTAAAGCCCACGTGCAAGAATTCCCCGCAGACCACCCTGATGGCAGGAGGGGATCTGAGCACCAGTTTATGTTGGTATAACATAATGTCAGAAGAGTAATCCATGTGAAGGAGTTGGAAACTGAATGTGACTCTATGTTATACACCTGAATTAATGGAAAAATCGATGCACTGGATTAAGGCAACCTAGTATCAACTGGAATACGCTGCCTACCATTTGACCGCTAGGGACCCCAAGTGAGACATGCCAGTATTAAATATTTACTGTACGTGTTTGTGAACTTCTGGCACTGTGGTGTGGCTAATGCAGGGGCCACAAGGTGACACTGTACCCGCGTTCGCCTTGTCTCAGTGTAAGCACCGACGGCCAGAAAGCATTGACTTGTTACAGGAGCAAAGCTAAACCACCAGCTACAAAGCAAGTGCATACAGGTGGGAACCATGTCAGCGGGTACTTACCTATTAGGAATATCACGAAGGAAACCAGGACCAGACTGACAATGAGCACGGCGATTAGCGCCATAAAACACAGACTGTAGCCTCCATTTCCCGAGTGAGCGCCCACAGCTGGGATTTTCTCCTCTAGTGCTAATTAATGTAAAGCAAACAAATACCAAAATGACAAAGCTCCTCAGCGTATAGCTTGTCAGCAGAGCTGGACAGTCCCTGTGACCAGGGGTGTGAGTAAGAGATACACCCACTTCCCCTCTAATCGTTCTGGAAAGGGGCCTTATGTTACAGGCATGGCTTTGGGCTGGGTGGATTTGTGACGTTTTTACCTTCTATGTTGGTATTCAAAGAACAAGCAAGGTCAAGTTATCTCCTTATCCCTGTTTGGAAAGTTCTTTGAAGATCTGTTAATACTGAACTAGCAGAACATAGATTTTTCTTTTTTGGGGGGTGGGTGNCACATTACTGAGCAATAAACCCGAAGGGTGCTCAGAGGAGCAAGCCATACAAAGGGTCCAGTACAAGGACAGAATTCCAAGCACAACCTGAGAGTCAAATGAAGTCCTAGGCTCCAGATGACCAGGAAAACGAATATGAAAGATTCTTCTGTGACATCTACAAGTAATATGGAAAGAACCGTGGCTTCTACCATCTGTGGTAAATGGAGGTTTAAAAACTGGTCCTAGACTGCACCTCCAAGGCTGCCTAACGTTTTCTCCATTATTGCTTTTTCTGAGTCTCTAAGAAACCACTTTTGAGCCCCTGAATCAGCTTCACAGTTAATACAGGAGTTGACGCCAACTCGTTAATATTAAAGAATTTTGCTAGGTTGGGGGTGGGGGGAGGTGCGGAGTCAAATACTCGTTTCGTCTGTTTATGGCCATATTTTAAACCATTTTAGGGCATGGAAAATTAGACATTTTTAGCATTTGAGAAGCCATACTTAAACTATTAACTGTTGTTTCAATTGTGTGGCCTGCCCCATTTCTTCATCAGACAATAGCTGCGCTGTGGCAGCAACACGCCATCTTCAGGAAAAACAATATTCCTGAGGGAATGGGCTTGTTACAATCCATGTCTTTGAGGATTCATGCATGAATAATGAATCACACTTCAGAATTTAAAAGGGAACATGAGAGTCAGAGGAGGCCAAGGAACAAAGAAAAACTAGGACCATGGCTTGCTGTCCCACAGCCCGTTCATTCTTCATCTGCCCGGGAGGACACGGGACACTTCGTGCGTTCTGCCATCCGGAAAGACTTCCGACGTGATGGCCCCACACGTGGGCATCTCACCGCATGGCTGCTTTGTCTGCCCTTCACATCCCACTCCCACATTCCTGGCCTCCAAGCAGATGTCTACAGAAAACTCTCCAGGTATTTCACTGGCAAAAGCAACCTTGTAGGTAAAGAGAATGAAGAAAAGAAACAAAAGTAAAAGCTTCTTTGAATGTCTTTATGACCAATTATGTGACCGCCTATAGGTCTGGTTTGATTCCTCTTTGGCAGAGATGGAAACTCAGGGGTAACATGAGTTTTATGTTAAGGGGTAACATACTTTAAATGGAGTCATTCTTCTAAGCTGGAAAACAATTATTTTATACACCCTGACTCACAGAGATCTTGTTTCCACAAAAATGATCTTTCTAAGCAATAAAAATGGGTTATAACACAATGGCTTGTGCCATACTTTCCAAGACACCTCAGTTAGGCCAAGTGACATGCACGCCAAACTTCTTCCCTTTCCCACAGGCTGTTATTGGCAATAAATAAATAAATAAATGAAATTTTAAAAAGTCTACACACAGCCAGCCAGTATTTTAAAACAGGGTCAATGGAAGGTGTTAGCTGTGAACCCAAATGCCAGCTCTCCAGGCTGTGTGGCCACGACTCCAGCCACGTCACACAGGCACAGGTAGGACAGTGCAGGTCCACAAGGATGGATCCAAAAAGGTGGATGAAACAACTACTTTATGTTGTAAAAGCCGTACATTTCATGGGATAAAAATCATTTATTACCGAGCA